TCACCCCCTTTCATATTTTTCTTCATATAATGTTCATGTGCAGATTCAATGTATTGGACTACCGTATACCTTCAAAATCTGGCCATCCACGCGCATCCGGGCATCAAATCAAAGGCCATGATCTGGAGAGCACGTTGAACTCTAGTCAACGCGTATACGTGCCAGCGCAAAAGTCAACCAGGCCTGAAGCTAATTGGGCCCAAAAGTACTGATCAAAACCTCCCAGTTAGGGGCAGACCCCCTAGGTTTGCTATCTTTAAATCTTTTTTTTATTTTATTCTTTCTATTTTGATTATTATTCTTTTCAATTAATTCTTTTAATTTAATTTTTCATAAAAATACAAAAAACAAAAAAATCAGAAAAGATAGAAAAAATAATAAATATTTTTATTTTAGTATTTTTGTAAATAAATAACTTTAATTCACTTAGTTTTAATTTAGGGTTTAATGGTAATATATTTTAATAAAAATCTAAAAATTTGTAGAATTAGGATTTTATGATAATTTTTATTCCTTTTTATTTTTCTTTCATAATAATTAAATATTAAAATATTTATTTTTGTAATTAAATTGCATGTAAATAATTAGGGTTTAATTTTAGGTTAAAATTCGATCTTTTCTTAATAAATTAAAAACAACTAGAATTAGGTTTAATTGCATTTAATTCTTTTTTTTTTCAAATACCAAAAAATACCCAAAATAATTTCTTTTCTTGTTTTAATTAATTAATTCCATCGTTTAATTTAATTTTGCAAAAAGGGTCCAACGCCCTCGTTTAATTCTTATTTAATTCGCGCGTTTATTGTTTATTTCTTTTAATATTTATGTATCTCTCCCAAAGCCGTGTAATTAATTTCTCGCACTTTATTTTCTTTACTCTTCTTTAATTCTTTATTTTTCTGTCAAATCGGGTTCAAGAAATTTTGGCGATGTGGACCCGCGCCGTTTGTAATAGTTTAGAATTTTTACTTCTCGTATTTTTAACTGTTAATCAAGGCATGCAAGAATGAATGGACAAAAAAATAAAAACAAACGCTAGATCACCAATAACATGACAAAAGACAAAAATATCTGAAAACGACACACAAATCACACACCACCCTTAGGGTACGCCTCACTGTTGCCTTGCCTCGAAAGGTGATCGTCGAGTAGAGGATGTCTTAGTAAGTCCTCATGATCCGGGAACCTGGCATGAGGGTAGCTTCTAAGGTGTCTTCCCATTGCTCTGGTGATCACCATGTCCCGAACCTCGAATTGACCCGAACACCTCCAACGGTGGTGCTACCTACCTCTCAATGGTGGGATGGCACTACTTTAAGGACATTTACACAGACGAATTCCTTAGGGTAGGTAGACGACTCTGGATACTTGCTATAAATTCAAAAACAAATTCAAAAATACTTTTCACACCGACACCTTTTCAAAAAGCTTTCGAAAGCAATTTTTCAAACACTCTTGAGGACCGATACAAGAGTCGAACTGAAATTTTCAAGGAAACTTTTTTAACCCACATTGAAAAGCAAACAAACCATTTTTGAAAACACAATGAGCAAGTATCTAAGAGCCCATGGATAACCATGGATAGAAAGGGTGCTAACACCTTCCCTTTCTATAATCTACCTCCCGAACCGAGAGCAATCTCTATAAAGAATTTTTCTGTGCTTTTGTCCTTTCCATTTGGAGAAAATAAAAGACGGTGGCGACTCTTGCTTCCGCGACATTTCGCGAACCAACGTTAAACAGTCAGTTCCAGATCCACCGATCACACATGGATAGAGAGGTTGAAGCATTCCCTTATTGATGGAGAGATACTTTGTGAACAGGTTTCTGAAGATGCAGATGAAGCGTTTCGAGCGTTCAAAGAGGATCCAAAAGTTATTCAGAAAAAAAAGGATGATCAAGCCATTCTTTGAAGGATATTGAAGAGGAGTGGCTTTTGCACGATATAAATCTCAGAAATCCCTTCAATAGGTAGTGGATGTTATGTGTAGGGTCAGGGATGAAATGTTGGAGCAGGCATGAGATTTCTGTCCCGGCCTTTCCATCACTGCTAACCAGTTGAATCCTTTGGCAGATGCTCTTGGAAAGGATATTGAAAGTGGACATAGAGCTTCAGAGGCATGCACCAATGTTTGAGAGCCTTTTTATTCTTTTTTCTTTGTTTTATTCGCCCCTGTAAGATTTGGCAAGCCTAGGTTTGTAAACAGTATATCTAAATATGTATTTCAATTGTTACCTTTAGCATGTTTGCAATTTTTTGGTATAGTATTCCTCTATATTCAACCTTCTTTATTGTTCGGCTGGGATCCGATGCGAACTAGGATCCGTGGAAAGCTAAGGCTTTCTTTGGAGCCTTCTAATTTTCCCTTGGGAACAAAGTCGAGGTGTTGCAGGTTCCTTCAGTCGATGGACACTCATCTGACCGTCTGATCTCCTAAGTTACCCCACGCCCAAGATTTCTCCTTATCTCGCAACTCCCTAATCATTCTGCAGTCTTGAAACCTTGTTGATTGTCTGGGACCGGGCTCTTGTAGTTACATTGATGAGACATCTGGCGTAAGGTTCTTACGATGATGAACATCCAACATTGGACGGTCGTGGTGATATTTATGCCTCCACATCGTCTGGAAGTGATTTTTTTCTAATTTTTCGCTGGTTCGAGGTGAACTTTGGTTCAGATTTGGAGAGGTTCATCCGGATATTCATTTGGTAGAAGCAGACTTCCAACAGTGCTCGGTTGAGGGGAAAAATATAGTCGATCGATCTTGGCCTTACAAATCTGAATCTGGATCTAAAGATGCTCACCGACCGACTTTTCAAGTGTTTGGGGCCGAGACCTTCAATTGACAGGGATGTCACAAAACTAGATCTCGATCTCAGGATGTTCACCAATGTTAGTTTGTGGAGATTTTGGATTGACATAACTATTTGATCGGATTCGAATTAGAGCTTGGTGTATCCAAACGACATAGATATGAGATTTTGGCCTCTTGAGACTTTGATTTCCTCACTTTAGACACTTTCGGAGTTTAGATCTGAGAATGGAATGAGAAATAAAATAGGAATTGGAAGTCGATTCTCACAAACGGCGCCATTGTTCTACTACAGAACCAGAAATAATGAGGATTGCAGAAACTACGTCGAAGCGAAGCTTCCTGAGCACTACATCGATGAGACATAGTAGATCGAAGGTTGCGATCATAATATTCCTAAAACCTGAGTTGTTGATCTTGAATCAGCGTCATGATTCTTCGACACGATAGATAAAAAATGTATCTGCATGGTTAACACTTCAATGCTCAAGTCAGTTTAGGGTTCAAGATTGAATAGTGAAAGTGGAGATTAAATATTTTGTATCTGAAAACCCTTTACGAATGTATTTATATCTTACGAGGCAGGTTGAATAATGGACCTCGTGTTATTGGACCTATAGTCGGCGCGGAGCAGTGGATCCATCGCCTTTGACTGGCACGAAACATAACATAAGACCACTTATAATGGGGGTTTTGAAAAAATTATTTAATAGTTGAATGATTACAATGGGGTGTTGAATGAGATGTTGAAAGGGAAGTGAATTAATTGGTGTTAAAAATATTCAACATGTTGAATGAGGAAGGAATGGAGACCACATATAATACTTTGCAAAATCTTATTAGTTGTTGTGATTGTTTATATTTTAATCTCACCTTAATTATTTAGAGTCAATTATTTTATAGTAAATCAATTTTTTATTTTTTTTTATTTTCATCAAAATCATCAATTTTTTGTCTATAAATAGAGACTTGGTTCATTTGATTTAGACACAAAAAAATCTACTTTTTTTCTCTCTAATTTTTCTTTTTAGCCTCCAATAAATAATAATTGTAGTAATTAAATTATGTGTTTTATAATGAATATTTTATATCTCGTCTTTATTATTTGCAAGGAAAAAATTTAGTTAGAATGTAAAGTTAGAAAAAATTCAAATAAGTTATTAAACTAGAAAAAAAATTAAAACTAATTATTTTAATTTAATTTAAATCGATAATTGATATTAATATATAATCATAAAAATATAAATATAAAAGAAAATAAGAATATAAAATAAAAGTGATGGAGTAGGGTGTTGAATTTTATTAAATAAAATAATTGTATTGAGTAAAAGTTAAATGAATATTGAATTATTAGGTGGAAGAGAGAGAAGATGATGTGGAGTATAAATAGTGAAAAAGAAAGGTGTTGAATATGTAAATCATTGTATATAGTCTAATAGATGGTATAAATAACATTAATTTAATAAATATATTAGATTAACAAAAACAAAAAGCAAATAAAAAATAATATTGAGATAGCTAATGAAATAGTTTTAGGTTTTAAAAGTTGCACATTAAAATGAAAGAATGTCATATTGTTTAAAAGAAATATGTTAGGATAAAATCACTTAGAAATCACAATTTAGATAAATATGATATAAAATGTACAAGTATAAAAAAGAAGAAAAAAACTTAATTAATTAACCAAACAAATTAAGGTGATGAAAAGAAAGGAATTGGCTGGATGGCATCGAAAAATGGCCTGTAAAAAGAAGAAAAAAAGACATATAACAACTAATTTAATCTCCAAAAACAGGATATAGAATTCCACAAATTTTGGTAACCATCTCATAATGAAGTCCACTCATATATCCTCCTTTTCTATCGGAGTGTTATGAGGAAACAACCTGATCATTTTTCCATTGTTGTCAACCATGGCTAATTCCTTCTCTTATTTTCATATTTCCCTGTTAATCTCTTTGCCACTCCTGTTGCCTCTGCTCCCCTCCTCTGGGGGGTCCTTCGTTTAATGCTATCATCTGAGGGACCCTTCGTCCCTTTGTTTTAGTTTCTTCATCATCTTTGTTTTTTTTCTGTCATTGTTTTTTACATATGACAGCAATGTTAATTTTTCAGAAATTTTGTTAAATAATATATAAGCCTTTTCTTGAAGGTTTGTTTATTTAACTTATTCTGGTTTCGGAAAGCATGAACTGCTTCCCGTGTTGTGGCCCTCAAAAAAATAAGCAAAGTAATAGTAAGAGGGAGCATGGTACTACAACACCGATGGAAGTTACTTCTGCTGCGAAAACACCAGGTATTTTTACGTACATATATGCATGCATGCATGCATGCATGCATGGTTTTAAATTTGCGCGAGTCACGATATTTTATATTGTAGAGAATCGTGATCGAATATAGTTTATGTGACCGCGGTTGTATTGCGGTTGAATAGACATTTGAAAAATGATGTTGGAGTTTTGATCGCGTTCGCAGACCTTTATTCGAAACATTCCATGCATGCAAGGAATGTATGTATCTTACTATTGTTGTGATTTTGTTGACATGCAGATATGAAGAAACAAAGGGGGGACGAGCAAATGCAAGGAGACGCGACAAATATTAACGCGCAAAATTTCACTTTTCGTGAGCTAGCGACAGCGACAAAGAATTTCCGCCAGGAATGTCTTCTTGGTGAAGGAGGCTTTGGAAGAGTCTATAAAGGGGTTATTCCTGCAACTGGACAGGTAAAAATATAAACCTTTCAATGATTTTTATCTTTATTTTTTGTTCTTTTGTTTGTTTATAGTTAGTTTTGTTTGAAACCTTCGTTCAGGCCGTGGCCGTGAAGCAACTCGACAGACATGGGACAGAAAACAGCAAGGATTTTCTGTCTGAGGTTGCTCTGCTGAGTCATGTTCATCATGACAATCTTGTCAATCTCATTGGTTATTGTGCTGATGGCGAACAACGGCTTCTGGTATACGAATACTATCCGGCCTATACTCTTGAAGATCGTCTTCTTGGTAATTTTCCAACGAATCTTCTGTTTGATAATATTTTCCCTGTTCTATCTTAGTTTTGATGATTAAGAATCTGAGTCATTTTCTCGATTTCAATATAAGTTGATTAAGGTATGTACTTTCTGTGGCAGGGAATAAAACGGATGAACCGCCGTTGAATTGGTTTGAAAGAATGAAGGTAGCAGCTGGTGCATCTAAAGGACTAGAATACTTGCATGATAATGCCAATCCGCCAGTTATATTCCGTGACTTGAAAGCAGTCAACGTCTTGTTGGGTACTGAAGCTGATCTTAATGCAAAACTATATGATTTTGGATTGGCCAAGCTTTGTGGTGGAGACAAGATGAACAATGCACCTCCAAGAGTTATGGGTACATATGGTTATTGTGCTCCTGAATATACAAGAACAGGTCAAGTTTCATTGAAATCAGATGTATACAGTTTTGGAGTTATCTTGCTCGAACTTATCACTGGTCGACGTGCCGTTGATACCACAAAGCCTAACGAAGAGCAAAATCTAGTTTCATGGGTAAATTTCCAATATTATTGATAATATCGAACGAGTTGTGTTTTGTGTTTTATGTTTTATGCTGATAGACTTATATATGAGCTTTTGTGATGTAATGTAACTTCGTGTTATGTTTGGTTTTGTGATTTTGCAGGCACAACCCTTATTTAGGGACCCGAAAAAGTATCCAGATATGGCGGATCCACTTCTCAATAAACATTTTCCAGAAAAGGATCTTAATCAAGCGGTTGCAATAGCAGCAATGTGCTTACAGGAGGAACCAGAAGCCCGTCCTTTGATCGGTGATGTTGTAACCGCTCTGAGTTTTCTATCGACGACTCCAACGGAACCTATTCCGCCACCCTCACTTCCCACTGCCACCTCGGTCTCTAGGCATAGTACTGCTACTGAAAGCGAATATGAAAGTGAAAGTGAGAGTGAATCAGAAGGAGAAACTTCAGATGATGAAGGCACTGACCATGAAGAAGACAATAAAACTGCACAAAATCATGTAGCAGCCAGTGAAAAACCTCAGAAAAGGGCAACTTCGAAGAAATCAAGCCGAAAAAGCAGCACAAAATCAAGGAATGAAACTACTAGTAAAGATTCAGCAGAGGGAGGTGCTTCTTCCAGTGGCAAAACCAGTATAAAATGGCAAAGCTTTGTTGGTAATTTAAGCCAAAAGTCAAACAGCTCAAAAAAATCTTCTACCAGAGAAAAAAGCCAGAAGAGCAGCAAAAAAATTTCAATCAAAGAACTAAGCCAAAAATGCAGTAGAAAATCTTCCACCAAAGATTTAAGCCATAAGAGTAGCAGAAAATCATCTGCTAAAGTTTCGAGTCGCATGCAATCGGAAGATGGAAGCATGAATTCGTCTCACAGAAGTGGCTCAAGCCAATATACAAGCAGCAGTATGTCTAGCAGCAGCAGAGGAAGTGGCAGTGCTCACTCGGATGTTAAAGGTAGCAGAAGGACAGGAGAGAGCATGCGTTTAGCCATGGAATCTGGCGATGAGGGAAGCAATCCTCCTTTTGATCGTATAAGTAGCAGTGACTCAGATCGGCGATGATGAGAGAATAAAGTGTTTTACGTTTGTGATCAAGCATTGGTTGCTACTTGTAATGTTGAAGAAAAGGCATGCACATACTTTGACATGGGGCTTTGCATTTTGCTGCTGGATCATGTCATGCAGCAAGAGTTTTACCATTTAACCAATATGCGGAATTTCTTATAGAAACTCAAACTTGAAAATTCAAGCATCCTTTAAATCTATTGTTTTGTTTAGTAGGATTCATATGTATAATTAACTTATCCACCTTGAAAAACAACTGTGATTTTTCGTAGGGCAACTGTCGCCAATATTGGAAAGAATGATGCTTCTTGTTTTGTATTTCTCGTCTTGCTAACCTGCATCTAATGTATTGATCATTTAAAAACGTTACATATTTTTATAAATTACCTAACATTTTTCTCGTATAATCGTATGGCAATTCTAATGTTACTAATGTTTTACAAGTAACACACTATGATACAATTGCATGCAATATACACAGCATGTAAGGTTTCTGACTTTTTTAAGGTAAACTGCAAAACAGAAAAAAAAATCATTTACAAAAAGAGATGATTATAATTTTCTAGTACCAATTTCCTTAAGAATTTGTTTGCTATATACCCTAAAATGGGAGATTTTCTTGACAGTTTCTCAGTATTTTTATAAATAGATCCTTAAGTGGTGTGCTTTGAGGATTGAGCTATCTTGAGCCTATCAAGAATACCACAAGCTTTCCTCTTAGCTCTTGAAGTTCCACATTCTGCAAGCTTAGCCAATGTACCATTGGATATTTCATCATCTCTAATTTCCTTCCTCTTTGTTTTATCATTGAAAAATATTATGTACAAGATTGCAACACAGTTCTCCTTGCTGCGATCCGAAATGCTGCTATCTCTTAAAATATCCATAAAGAAAGGGACAGCGCCGTGACTTCCCAATGCCGCGACAGCCTTGGAATGGCTAGAGAGAAGTGCCAACAAGGCCAAAAACTCGTCTACTAGAACACGGTCCACAATGATCTTGCTGAGAATAACCTGAACCACGCCTTCTCGAACTGTTCTCGCTTTATTTTCATGTGCAATACATAGATTGAATAGAGCCGAAGCAGCGTCTTTCGTTGATGATGGATGTCCTTTTTCTAAAAGATCAACCAAATATTTAATCGCACCGGTTTTTCCAATGATTTGCTTGTTGATATCAAGTGCTGATAATGAAAAAATTGCTGCTGCTGCATTGCTTCTTGTTTGAACGGTTCCTGATTTCAACGAATCGATAATAAAGGTGATAAGCTTTTCATCCTCTACAAAAAGTCTCTTATTGTTATCGTCGATTGAGAGATTCAGAACAGCCGTGATCAAGTCTTCATGGAGTTCCGGGTCTATACAAGCCATGCCTTGTGATAACGGACTAAGCAATTTTTTAATCACTTCAGAGTCACCAAAGAGTGTTCGAAACGGAGGCATTTGCTTCGCTAAAAGCCGAAGCTCTCTCGCAGCTTCTTTTTGCTCCAAAGCAGATAATGACAGTTTGTGAAGCAATGACCGTAAACGATACTTATGCGCTTCAGTTGGTTCTCCATTGTCAATATCCCCAACAGGCATTGGTAGCTCAACTCCATGCTCCTTACACCACCTCGAAATCATGTCTTGCACCAAATAATTAGGAGAAAGAATGGAGTGAGAGAGGACATGCTGAGTTTGCGGGCAATCTCTATGCACTTCATTCAGCCAATTTTGAATGAATGGTCGATCATAAGTCTGTAGCATCAATATATCAATCAAGGATCATAACAATCATGATGAACATATAATAACAGTGCAATACCACTACAACATGATGATTTTTTGCTTCTGAACTTACAACGCGACTGCGATTGTGGTCGCATTAGTCACATTTATCTGCATTTCTCCAAAGGGTCGCAACAGTTTCAAGCCAGATGAACTACCCCTCCCACCTCAAACGATCACAATAACATACTACTACTCAATCCAGAAACAATTACATTACCAAAACTACCTATTTTCAAACACAACGATTCATCAAAAACGAGGAAATTACAAAGAAACGAAAGAAATCAAGAACTAACCTGTCCATTGGTCAAGATAACAGGATCAGTCATGATGAGACCTGAGATGGGGCAACGAAACTGCGGAGGAACAGGAGCAGACAAACCATCGAATTTTCTCGAGAAAGAAACACTGGATTTCAAGTCCCTGAGTACAGAAAGTGCAGTGATGGCTTCATCAGCAGCATGCAGAGTGAAATCATCGCCTTCAACAATGGTATTAACAAGTTCTCGTAACTTGTCCTTCAATGCAAATGTCTGGTCTTGGTTGTTTGACATTGCAAAACAAGAATTTGTTGCAAAGCTAGATCGTTCGATGGTGTTGTGAGTGAAGAAAGACAAAGATTTGAGAGTTAGTTGATGAATGAATAATCTTGATAACGGAAAAAGACACGCTGGTTTACAGGCCCACCAAAAGAAAAGCCACCGACTCAGTTTACTATGTGTAATTGTCCTCATTGCATTTCATTGACACATAAGTAAACCATGTTGACTTATAAGCCTAGTTAGCTATACTTTAAGTTACTATATATAAATAAATAAATAACTTAGATAATTAAAAAAATGTTTTTATTATTTATTGATGTATTCGTCATAATTATATAGTAAAATATATATATTAAATAAAAAGTGATACAAGTAATATTAATTATTAATTATAAGGTGGACAAAATAGATAATAGTTAGGTTAAATGTGTATAAATATATAGTTTAGAATTGAATCTTTAATGATGATATTTATTTATATTTATATATTAATATAAAAAAATTATATTTATAAATTAATCTTTTTTTTAAAAGCAATATTAATTAAAAGATAGATTAATATTAAAAACTGAAACAGTAATCTTTCAAAGACTTCTTTTATATATAGGTGATTATTTTGAAAGAGCACTTATATTTAATATTCTTTTGGTATGGAATAGAAGATCGATGATGTAAAGTGAAAAAGTTATTCTAGTATGGTGGTGTGAGTCCCCGATATTATGGAAAGAGAAATTACCTACAAGATTAACACTTTAACACTCAAGTTATTAAGGACAATGAAGTGTAACTTTGTACATTAAATGAATGAATATGTGTTTATGGCGTGTGGTAGGGCTTATATACCACAATCAATTAAAACTGCTCCTGTTTGACTTGGCGTGAAGCCCGTTTGATTAGATTTGACGGTTGATATTGAACAAGTAAGACGAAAGCAGTATGCCATCTTTTAGAGAGAGTTCATATGTTTGTATTCTTTCTAGAGGGTTCTTTGACTAGGTCACTCAAATTGGTTTGACATTATTGGGCTGATCTAGAACAGTTTCCCCTCAAGTCCTTGCATATTGGGTTCGGCCCTTTTGACCGCCCTCATGGACCGCCTGACAAATGTTGTGTAGATCTTCACATTGTGATTAGATATATGGAGAAGGGGGTAGTTGTCCTTGGCAACACCCGCATTGAATGGGTGTCTTGTAGCTGAAAATGTTTTTGCATTTAGGATTATATATGTGGCCCTAAATTCTGAGTCGCGTGCAACCTTTTTTTAGAGTATAAGAATGTCGTGGGGATTAGGGACAAATTGGGACCATTGGTGGTGATAGTTCATCTTCGTGGATCTTTAGTCACCAATCGCGGGGTCATCCATCACCAATATATAAAGGCTAAAAGAGGGATATGATCTCTCTTCTGCTTCTTTTACTCGCAGGGTTTTAAAGATTTTCGTTTTATCCCTACTGCATTTGATCCCTATTTACCTCTGCTTTTGGTAAAAAACGCTGGTCTCTTTAACAAAAAATTTACTGGCGAAATGACCAGGGAATCTCAGTACAGTGCTTTAGTTTTCGAGTGTTTTCACAAAGTGTGTTCAGAAGGATTTGTTGGACTAATGTCAAACGAGTTTATAAGCAATAAAGTAAGACTTGTAAAATAAAACAAAAGATGTTTTAAATTGTAAATATAAATGACATAACATCAAAAATAGTTGAAAATAGGTTGATTCAAACGTACATTGCCCTAGCTTGAATCATTTCGCTCGTTCACTTGGGTACTCTGAGTAACTAGCGTATAGGAATGTGAAAGTTTAAACCCCTAATACTATGCACTAAGTGCTTTATTTATAATACACAAAATAACTACTTTCTAGCGGGCTTCGCTTCCTTGTATGCCACGTCAGCCTTGTAACTTCCCTCCATGAATCCACGTTCTCCATTCATGTTGTCGAACCCATGTTCTCCATCCACAATACCTTGATTTGCTAGTTATGCACTCTTTGGGCTTTTTAACATTCTCGGGCCCAATCTATTCCTCATGAGGCCTCTTTCTGGTCGACTGTACCCACAAGCCCAATTGACTACTTATGAAATCTCTCTCGATCGACTGCTTCTGTAGTCGACTTCTCATTATTCAAAGTAGCCAAAGAACCTTTTTGGCTTTTGGTTGGATTTTAATCTTTGTGAAAAATCCTAGCCAATAAATTGCCCCCAAAAATTTCCTTTTCGGATGAAAGAGCATAAACAGACATTTTAATCCTTTTCTCTTAGTGCAAAGTGACGTCATCGTAATCATGACTTTTTCCATCAAACATTACATTTGCGATCATACAGCCACTTCCCTACTTTCTTCCCAAATGTTTGGTTTTCTTAACGGTATAAATACTCTTTTCATCTCTTCAATTTCCTTTTTACATTCTCTTTGCATATTCAATCTCTCCGCTTTCATACTCAACAGAAGTTCTTACTTTCATTTTTACCCAGAAAAACTTTCAAACATCTACATGGCCGCTTCAAGCCAACTCTCTGAACACATCCAAACTCCCCAAGAAATTGAGCTGGTTTCTAACATGAGTAAGTTCTTTGTTCATGATCAAAATAATTTTGTTTTGGAACCAACACCATCACGAAACCTTTCAACTTTTCGTTCCCAAGTGTTGCTCCCCTTCGTAGGCCCTTGAAGCCAACGTTATCGTCCC